AAGAGGAGTATTTATACACAAATACACCTTTATATTCACAGTATGCACTTTGAAATAGTATGTATCTCCTTATAAACCACCACTGTAGTGAAAACTGTTGAGTCTAATCAGTTTTGAAGCTTATGTTGCAGATCGGCACTATTATTCTGTTCCAAATTTAAAACAGAAGGAAAAAGTAATGCCCTTAAGGAGTCACATTCATCATTACAAATATTTTTCAAGGTGTGTGGGAAGTGGGTTACTTTCTCTTTTTCCCCCCTCCTTTTCTAGATGTCAAAATACATTGTTTTCCCCTTGCTGGTGAAGAAATATGGCCTTGAGAAATGTCAGATGAGCCCACTTTCCCAGACCTCAGAGCCATACTACTGAGCTATTATTTTTAAATGTGTTTCTCTTTCCAAGACTCATTTCTTAACAGCTGATCACTCTCATTAGGAAGTGCTAACACTCACAGGTTCTAAATTGTTATTTGGTCCCTAATACTCCATTTGGTGATCAATATCCTCCTTTGCTCCTCCCCCTAGCTGCCACAGCCTTATTCTCTGTTACTGTCTATCACCTTTTTCCCTTTCTTTAGTTCCTTTCATTTTTAATCCTTCCTTTTGGGCCAACTTGTCTCCCTTTTATTATCCGTATTTGCTTCCTCCTCCTCTTTCTCATTCAACCCTTTCTAGACCTTTAGATTCTGAACACTGACATTTGTGACTCAATTTTTTTTTTGCCATGGTGGCCTCTCATTAATAAAATTTTCCTTCTCCACAAGATTGTCCCAAGAAAGCATAATCTTAAGCATCTACGATTGCCCAGAGATTCGCCACATTGGATTCTTCATGTGCTGAATCAAATGTGTTCAAGAATATGATTCCCTACTCCTATTCTCATTTAGTATTTTTGCGTGAGTCTCCTTTATTATACCTCTCTGTCGCAACATGGAACTTAAGTTTTCTGTGGTCTAGTCTAAACTGTACACGGGACAGTGATAATGACCTTCTGACCCTACAGTTCTTCCTGGCTATAGGTAGAATTGATAGCAGTTTTTCAATTTCTCCCTTGTCTTTGCTTGAACATACTGGAATTACAACCTCTGACAAAGGTAACATCCCTTTTGTAGTGGAAACAAAAGGACTGTGTAATGAATTGGTTAAGATTACATTGCATGTTTAGATGATGAAATCCAACTGCAGCTCAATTCCTTTATTTCCTCTAGCTGGGCCTGGTCTTTCAATAAGACATTATTGACTGGCATCTTCCTCAGAACAGGTGCTTCGGAATATAGTCTTGCTGCTTTGGAGTTCTTTAAACTGAACAACAACTGTAGTATAGGCCAAGGGAATCAGATATGAGAAAATAATGCCCAGTATCTTAGGATGAGCACTGTAGATGATCCATAGCCAGGTGGCACTAAAATAATGACGGATCCTTGGGTTTATACGATGTGCTGACCCTTTTCAAATTAACTTTAGTTACTAAGGTGGCAGGATGTGAATTACAGTTTTATATGCCATTTCTCTGCAAATTTCTAGGACTCAGAAGAGCTAGGAGCGAAGAGGAAGACAAATTTTCATGATTCATTACTACAAATTTTGCTTTACTGACGTTATAAAATGAATTTTTTATCTTTATGATTATGGAATCAGTTAATGCCACAATTGTGGGGTATTAACAAGCTCTATATTTTTGTCACAAAACATCATCTTTGGTTGCTCTGAATAGAAAATTACTGGCCTGTTTCTACCCTTCCTCTTATTTTACTTGTACTTTTGCCTTTACTTTAAAAAAAAAATCACTTGGGATTTTTGCTTAGTATAATACCATTATTGGCTGCAGAAAATATTTAAAATGTGTGTTTTCAAAGAATTATCAGATCGTTTATTCATCTTTGAGAGAAAAATGATTCTATTCATCTCAATTATTTTTGCCAAGGACTGTAACACTAATTTTACTCTTTCTAAAAATTAAAATAGCAAACAGTTTATATAAGGTGTTGATAATTACCTATATTATTGTACTGCTGTGACAGATGTTGGCAAAAAAGCCTAAAATGCCTACAGCTGTGCACTCCATGACATCTAGTTTATACTCAGACAGAAGGCTAACAGATGTTCTGAACTGTCACTTTGCCTAAATGTTTTTTAAAGTCTAAGGACCTGCTTTATAATTCACTAGGGTCTGGTTTGGTTTCACAGAGGTCCTCAGAATTCCCATCTGTGACAATTAATGTTAAAGACATTGATAAATCAACCCCTGTGTTTTCCCTCTTCTTTAACAAACAGGCATCAGTTTATGTATGGATTGTGCATTGTAAAAGCTGTTTTTATATACGTCCTAGTTGTGAAATTCTCTCCTTAAACACAGATAGAATTGGGTTGCCAGAATTCATGAAGATTTGTTTTGAGCATATGGAAGGCGCGTTTGTTTTGCGTATATGGAAAGAGCCAAGAAAAAGCATCCATTCTTTTCTTTTTGCTAAATGCTCAATCTTATGTACCTTGGAAGTAAATATTAACAGTTTCTAGTGAGCTATATTTTTCTAGTGCATAAAGAAGTGTGGGTTTTTTTAAATTTATTTTTATTTAGCATTTTAATGACTCCTCACAATAACTATTAATTGGTGTGGCCCTATTAGAATGATGGTGGAACAAAATAAATGGCATTCGCATAGAATACAGCACATCTTTTCCTACTTGACACTCTAATACTTCCTCTTCCCAAACATACCTTCAGATCCTTCATACAGAATTACTGCCCCGTGCAAAGGCCATCAATGCCTTATTTGCTATTGCTCTTAATTTTAACAAGCTGGATTCCTGTAGTACACTTGCTTAATAGTTTAAACATTCTGTTAACAATCGGGTGTTTGGCCTATCCTGTTTCTCCTCCTTCTGTATAGAAATATAACTCCAAATAGTACATCTTTCTGGGTTTGTTTCTAAATTAGTCCCCACACTTAATTATGAGGATGAGAGGGATGCCTTATTCCTCTTTGTTATAGGCTAAGCTCTCAGTAATCCCAAACAAAAGAGCCAGTTCTGGAAGATATAGGATTTGCTAGCAGGATTATGGTCTCATAGATAATGATGTGCAGTCAGCAGAAGCGAAGCTTTATTTTAATTCAAATAAGCTAGTAAACAAACCACTGACAAGTCTGCTGGTGAGAGTAACTGGCTGCTGTTGCCACATTGGCAGCTAAATTACAGAAAATCTATTATACCCTGTTCACCATATGTTTAATTTAATACAAGATACAAATTAAACTATCCACAGTGCCTATTAAAATAACAATACTTTTTTTATATTTGAATGTCTTAAAAATAATTTCTACTGACCTTTTAAAGGGTGGTTTTGATATAGGTGATTATCTGGAGGGGAAAGGTAGTTAATAGAAGGCAAAAAATTTTAATTGCCTTTCTGAGAAAATAAAAATATAAATGTTCGCTGGTTTGCAGTTGTTAATAAGGTTAATTAGTAGTCATGTGTTCTGTTATTACTATATTCCCCTCCCACCCTTTTGGTTGCTGAGGCTGGGGTTTTAATAGTGATACTTAGTCTCACCTATATGAGTCTGTCCTCATGAAAGCATTACCTTGATCAAGCCAGCCTATGGGTAGCCTTAAACCTGATGCCAACTGAGGCGTATATTCAGAAAATTGAGTTTACACTCTAGGTCCAATTTGAGTATGGCACAGAAAAAAAGACACAGACTTTTACAATCCTTGCCTTAAGTCAACCTCTCCATAGCCTAAAGATCCTAAGGAGAGCCAGAATTAAGAGGCTGCCATCCAGAGAAAGGAAAGAAGGAAAAGACAAGACCACACACTGCCCACAACCAATTTCCTCCTGTACCCACAACAGTCAGTAACCCAATAATGCTTGCCTGAGTCCATTTGGACTCAGTCCACCTGATTCTAAAGACTGACCTGGGTTTTGGAATTATAGAGTTAGATTTGAAACCCAGATCTACTATTTCCCAACTGTGTAACCATAGACATTTAACCCAGCTGGATCTTCCCATACTTTATTAAAAATAAGGGGGGGGGGAATAATAGTTCCAATTTTATAGGATTATTATGAGAACTAGATAAGAGAAAATATCTGATAAATAATAGATGCTCACTAAAGTTTAGTACCTTTCCTCTCTTTACCCTCAAGCAAATAAAATGTTGCTCTTTCTTCAACGTGAAGGGAGAATGATAGGAGACAGGTTTGGAAGGGGAAGTGTAAATAGAAAGTCTGCCTAAAATCATTTTCCTGGAATCATTAACTCCCTTCTATAGTCAAAACCTTAAATGGTATGCCCCTTTTCTTCCAAAATTCATCACAGTATTTACTCTAAGAACGTGTCATAGGCCACCCAGGCTAACCGCCTATCCTTGGGCCTCTGAAATAGAGAAACAAAGAATAATCACCACACTTTGGGATACTTTTTCAAACTTTTATGAACATGCAGCCTTTGCACTGGGTCTGCAATAGGGCTCGTGGGGCTGCCCTATGTGAATTTTGGTTCAAATATAAGCCTAGCATATCCAACTGTGTACTGGTAGTTACAATATTGCATAAGGTGTACATTTGGAAGATATCCCCACCTTAGGTTATTCTTGAAGTCCAGCAAATGATAATATTTTCTCTAAAACGCAAGTTTATTCACCTTGGATTGATGCAAGAAGGAATTTCAGGTATATGGTACTGGTGTATGCCGGAGAGACACAGGACAAATATCCCATGGTGCCTTCCCCTTACTCCAGGAGAGCCTAGAGACATTTCCATTTATTGAAACTCTGAATTATTGGTAAAGCAAGAAATCAGAGGAAAAAAGGAGGGGGTCACAAAATGTGTGGTATATTTTAAATACTTTACACTTTAAAATTAATATTGCTACCCCATATACTCAAAACGTGCGATGGCTTGTATAACTTCATTTCATACATAACAAGAATTTAAAAAAATACCATTCTTTTTTTTTTTTTTTTTCAGTAATCGCTACCCCCAACATGGGGCTAGAACCCATGATCCCGGAGATTAAGAGGCGCACACTCTTCGGATTGAGCCAAGCACGCTCATAACAAGAAAATTTTAAAAGACGCCATCGATGAATGCGCCCCTAGGCCTTGTTCCCGGCTCCTCCAACTCTCCTCTTAGTCGTAGGAACACACCTGGCTCTAGAGCCAGGTGTCCGTCTTGGCATAAAACAAAGGCCCAGGGAATCTGAGAGTTCACAAGTTTCCCGCCAGGTAGGAAGGAGGGCCCTGGGAGTCCCTGGCCACCCCCGCCACCGTGACGCCCGGGCTCTCCGGCCGCCCACCCGCACCCCACCCCACCCCACCCCACCCCGACGGCGCGCTCGGCCGCCCGGCGGGTGCTCGCTCGCTTCCCCGCCGCGCCCAGGTGACCGGCCCGGCCTCGCGGAGGGGGCGCGCCCGCCAGCGCCCTCGGGCCTCCCAGCCCGCGTCCCCGCACCGACGCCCCACAGGGCGAGCCGAACCGGCCGGGCCGTGCGCTCCCGCGGAGGAGCAGCGGGGGCCGACGGCGCTCGGACGAGTGAGCCCGGGTCGGGGCTCCGATCGCGCTCGCGCTCGCGCTCGCCCGGCCGCCGCCGCCCGTGCCCAGGTCCCCGCAGGCCTCGCGGGCCCGGGGCGCGCGGCGCTGGAGCGGCGCCCAGAGCGCGGGAAAGCGGGCGGCGCGCGAGGGCCCGCGGGCGGAGGGGGCGCGGCTGGTCCCCGCGAGGCACCCAGGCGCCCGCCCGCCCGCCCCGCGGGCCGAGGGGTCTCGGCTGAGCCGCCCGCGGAGTCCGGGAAGGCTCGCGCGGCCCCCCGAGCCCCGGGTCCCCTCGGGCTTCCCCGACCACCGAAAGCAGCGCTGGCGGCGCGGGGCGCGGGGCGCGGGGGGCGGGAGGCGGAGGGCGAGGCTCCAACCAGCAGCTCCTCCCGGGGCCTCGAGGCGCGCGTGCTCCCGGTTGGACCCCGGAGCCCGCGCAGCCGGCGTCCAGAGCACGTCCGGCCCGGGGCCGCGGCGGCACCGACGTCTGCCCGGCGGCGCGGGCCCTGGTCCCGCCGCGTGCATCGAGGGGCGGGCGAGGCGAGGGGAGCGGGCGTCCCGAGTCCCGCGGGGCACAGCGCGGCCCGGGCCGCCCGAAGCCTGCAGGTGAGGGGAGCAGCCGCCCCTCCGCCCTGGCGCGGCCGCGGGGGGCCCCGCTGGCAGGGGCGGGGGACCGGCCGCGGGTTCCCGGCCCCACTGACCGGCACGTGCGGACGGGCTGGAGCGGCCGGGGCGGGGCGGGCCGGCGGCTCGGGGAGGAGGGAGCTGGGGCAGAGGCGGGCGCTGTGCGCTCTCCGGGAACGTCGTGCGGGGGCGGCCACGGGGTCGCCGGGACGCGCAGACCCTGATCGCGCGTACGGGGTTTCCTTGCGAGCAGCGCTCGCCACTTTGAAACCGGGTCCCGCGTGCCCCTCTTGCAAATGCCCTCTGCCATCAGCTCGCAGAAATCCTTCTGTTAATGCCCTTTCCACCTGCCCCTTCCCTCCCTCGCATCCTTCCACGTCCGAGTCGCTCGTGCTGACTGCCACTCCCTCGCCGGCGCCCCAGCCTGGGAGGCTCGGGGTAAAAGCCACAGCTCCCCAGGACAGCTCTGGGCTTGTAGAATTGGAGAGCGCTCCTTTGGCCCCAGAGCATGTCTCAGTAGCGAAGTTTCCAATTCGAGCCACCTATAAACACCCATAACTGGGTTCACACGGATCTCCCCACCACCCCCGCCCCACCCCCGCCCCCAACCTCTTCAGAAAGCCGTTTCCACAACTTGGACTCGTTTGGGTAGGGTGTGTTTGCTCTGAGAAAGGGAGCTGACCAGTCAGCCTAGTTGCAGGATACAGAAAGGTTATTTTTCAAAGCAGTTTTCCAGTTGCAGGCGACCTGGTTCTGGATTCCCTCACCTGCCAAGGCAGTTTGGCACTTTGGCCCTTCACCTTAACACGTTGCACATTGGGGTGTTTTTGTTTTTGTTTTTTTTTTTAGTTGGAGGCTGAGACTTCCCTCCACGTCAGATGGAATGTCACTGCATTCCAGCATTTGAGACTTCAGGGGACATGCCTACAAAACAATCTTCCCCATCCTTCACAAGAAATTGAGGCCATTTGAGAGATTTTAAACTTCCTTATGGCTGGGATTGAATAGATTTGATTGATAAAATGTGGAGTTTACTCACCTTCAGTCACCTTAGGCTACTCACTGATGCCTTCCTATCTTACAGACTTAGATTCAGCCCCGAGCCCCTCCCTCAGTGAAAAGAGGACAGCAATTCAGATTCTTCTTTCAGTACGTTCAAAAAAGAAAAAGCACAGTTGATCAGGTTGGGGCATCTTTTATAAGTTCTGATATTCAGAAAAAAAATATGACAAGCGAAGCCAGAAGAGATCATTCCAGGTTATTTCAGTAGATTACTTTTCTAGTGCAAAGTTATGAAGACTGGGTTAAACATTTTATATTTGCCCTCTCCCACTCCTTTAACTTGGAAGAACTGTTTCTACTATTTTGCATAATGCTCCCTACCTTTCATACGGTGCCAGAAGTCACAGGTACACTCTCCTTAGCCTGTTCTATTAAAGGTGGTTCTTGATTTACACTCTTCATTTCCTTTCCCCAACACACTGACACTTACTTATACAAACACACTCTTCTTGATCCTCAATGTTGGGGTGTGTATAGCTTTTGGTATTGCCCTTTCATTCTTTCTGAACTCATATTAAGGTGTTCTCCCCGAAATATAAAATGTTATTGAGAAACAGCCATGTGAAAATTTGTTTAATTTTCTGGCTTTTTTTTTTTTTTTGCATTTGTCTTTCAAGATTCATAGGGAAGGCCGTAACAGGTGTCTAAGTCATAGTCCCCAAGAATCCCTTATTAGATGACTTCCAGACCAGATATAAACCAAGAACATTATTGTTTCCAAAAGGGGAAGTAGAAGCTAAGACCAGTTTTGTCCAGGGATTCATTTGAGTGTTTATCTTTTTTTTATTTTGAACAGTTTGTGGGAAAAAAAGGAGGAGTATATGGGTTGCGGGGCGGGGGGGGGGGAGCAGAGATAGAGAACCCAATGCAAACTTGTTTTGTTTTTGTTTTTGTTTTTGATAAAAGCCATTTTCCCAGACTATTGTCTTGCCCCCAAGTGACAACACACAGAGCACAAGTCCTGAAAGCGGATTACTGTCACTCTGGGCTATTGGAGGCCCGGAGAGCCCTGGCATTAATTCCTATAGAAAGGTAGCTAAACCTAGGCATCTTGCCCTGCAGGGCCCTCATTGCCTAAGAGTTCAAGGTTCTCTCAAAGTTGATACTGACCTCCAGCTAGGTCTAGGTGGTAGGGCTCTCCCGCCTAGAAGAGGCAGATTTCTTGCATGGAACTGAGGAGGACGCAGGGTGGCCAAAAGAATCAGCCTGAGGGGATGGGGCACTGTAGCAGGCAGGCTGTGGCCACCAGTCCCCTGGCAGGAGAGCAATCAGTGAGTCAAAGCTAGCTAGCAGTGAATGAAAGAGCCAAGAATGGGACCCTTTGGGTGCTAGAGACTAGCCTTTAGCTTGTTCCACCCCTCCCCCTGGGCTCCCATCCTAGGTTTTGAGGGTTGGAGATCTAACCTGAGGACAAGGCAAGCATGGTAAGAAAACATGCCTCGCCACCCACCCACCCCCACCCTGTCCAGCGTGCACGCAGGGGTGGGAGCTTGCAGAGACCAGGAGAGATACCTCCAGTCCTCAGTGATCTGTGTGTCCGACTCCTGCAAGTTGTGCATGGTCAACAGGGGGACAGGAGGTGGGAGGGAAGCCTCATTTTCTTCAGTCGCTCTGTCTCGGGTTGTGTCTCCTCTCCCCAACCCTATCTCACCCCACCCCAAAGAGAATTGAAACTCCATTGCCTTTGCCTGCACTGAGCCTAAAAACTCAGGACTGGATAAGGTTACTGCACCATTGATACGATTGCAGATTTTTTTAAAGCCTCCTCAAAGAGACAGATGTTTGGGCTGATTAAAAATTGAGGAGGAAACCTGCAGCTGCACCAAGGAATAATCTATTGGACAAATATTTTAATAAAAAAAAATATGAAGAGATCAGCCCGACCTTGCAAGGTCTTCTGCTTTAAAAAAAAAAAAATCTTTATCAAACCCCTATTCTATGGCTTCAATAAACAGAACCCATTACCTCACGGCATCTTTTGTTGGCCCCATACAAGAGAGAACAAAATGGTTATTCAGGGGAACGCTTTCGATTTTTATTGTGGGTAGCCTGCACAAAGAGCCGTGTTATTGTATTTAAAAGAACCATCTGTAGCAGAAACAATGGCATCAAATTATCTTTGAATACCCACTGAAAAAACATAAAGCTTTTTTTTTTTTTATTCTTCTTCTGTACGGTGGGGGGATAGAGCAGTGTTAGGATAACTGACTTTTTTGTTGTTCTCTGGGTGCATTCTTCTCGCTCCCCCTCTCTCCCCCTCACCCTCTCACTCCTCTCTCTCTCTCCCTCTCCCTCTCTCTCTCTCTCTCTCTTTTAAAAAATCAGCCATTTGGGGTTTTAAGCCATAAACGATTTTTCTTGTTGCAGGGGATTGCAGTGGCAAAGCTAGGCTAGGTCTTGGAGGCTGGTGTAAGGCGAAGCGGGTGAAGGCAGGAGGCTGATGGAGAGACTGGGGGGAAGAAAAGCCGAAATGGATTCACGGTGCCTTGGATGGAGGACGAGAGGGGAACTGCAAGCTCCTTCAACTCGTTCTGTCCGGTGAGAAGTGATCAAGCTTGGGCTGACAAGAGGCTCAGGAAGCCCTCACGTTCTTTCGCTTTTTTACCTGCCAATCAAACTGCTACAAGACAACACCCTGATCTGGCATGGACATGTAAGTAGCTTGCAACCCAACTTTGACATTCACTGCTAGCTCACTCCTCTCCGCCCACCCCCCCAACTCACTTTCTTCCCCTCTCATTCTATTTTTTTTTTCTTTTGACCTTTAAGAGATCTAGAAATACACCCTGTGTGGCAGTCATTTAACACAGGCAGATTTAAGTCTGAAAGCGTTAACTTTTGGAATTAAATGCTAATTTTGACTTCTTTAACAAATGCAGAAATGAAGACATTATTTTATTCTCTTCGGAACAGTTTCAGTGCTGAACATGATCAGTTGCCTTGCAAGGGTGTGTGTGTGTGTGTTTTCTTTGAAAATGAAGAAATCCGTGAGCCCCCAGAGAGAAATGCAGAAATGAACATTTCAGGCTTCCATCTTAAAAATGTGAATTTTTAGCATCTCATCCCTACAAAAACAAAACAAAAAAAAAAACAAAAAAACAAAAAAACAGCAACCACCACCACCACCACCACCACCACCACCACTTTCTCCAGACCAAGGTTACATAGGATGGGAAGAGTGATTTGAGCCCAAAGGTTCCTATCATTAAAGGGTTGCTACTATTTCATCTGGCGTCTTATTATTTTGGTGGCAGTTGGGGAGAGGGCGTGAAAAAAAGAAAGAAAGAAAGAGACCTGGCGACACCTCATTCTTTATAGGAGATTGACATTGAGGGGTCTAAAGCTGCAAGAGGACAGGAGAAGCGGGAAATATTACCTGAGAGCAGGAATCAGAGAGCATGGCGGAGCTGGAAGCCAGGAGGGCTGCCGTGGGAAGTGGTGCGAGAGCGGACGGGCTTGCTCCCGGGCGCCCTCTAATGGCCATCTGGGCCAGTGTTTTACTTTCTTAATTCAATCCTGGGAAAAGCAGCTGGGTTTTTGTTGTTGCTGTTGGTGGTTTTTCTCCGCAGGCTTAGAAACTAAGAGACTATTAGTGGAGTAAATTGATTGTTTTCATCCCAGAAACTTATGTATGTGCCTTAAAATTATCAATGTTTTCTCCTCAAGCGTCTCCTCCTCTCCCAAAATTTTGCTAGACTAATAGGGGAGGAGAGGCTACTGGCAGATTGACTTTCGGAGGGTGGCCCATGCCCAATTAGCAATCCGGAGAAAGGGATTCCTTTCCTACCTGAGCAGCATTCAGACCCTCCCAATACACTGAAGGGGTCTTGGGGGCTGAGGTGGGGGGGAGGGGATGATTTGGAAATTGCAGATTCTGACACAAGCTCATTAGAATACAATTTAAAGGGGCCTCTTCGGAACCTCTGTTATTGCGACATGTGGTGGTCAGGGGGCTTTCCTTCCCGCCTCCTTTTTCTTTTTTTCCTTTTCTTCTTTCTTTCGTTCTTTTTTTTTTTTTTAAATTTGGTAGATAAAGGTTAATCTTGGGCTGAATGATAGAGCTATGATTGACAAGAGAAAAGGTGTTGAGGGCAGGTCGCGCTGTCTTATTTACAGCCCACTGCTTGCTGTAGAGTCTTTGTTAGGACTGGAAAGCTAATTTAGTGCTGATCAAAAGCACCACAGAGTTAAAGGACTGGTAATGACTGCTAATTTCATTTCAGCCTCATGCATCCCCAACTGCTGTAATTAAAGACACGCTATTTAAATACAGGTGAAGGTTTTTTTTTTAAAGTTAGGGTGGGGGTGGGTGGATTACAATATTACTTAGATTTCATCTTATACACGGGTGTTATGTAGTCCAACATCAGATTTTTTTTCTTTTTAAGACCCGCTTCTTGTCACTTATACCTGGCTTTGCAGAATCGGCAGTCGTGAAATATGTCAATCACACAAAAGCCCCCGTTTAAAGAAAAAAAGAGGGGGGGATGCAGAACAGTAAATGTTTTGGGGGGGGGATTTAAATATTTGGGTCTCTTTTCTTTTTCCCCTTCAAATTAATAGAAGGGCCTGCGAAATAGCTAAAGTATTTGAAACTTAGGGCAGGGTTAACAGGCCAAAGGGATCAGTGTCAGCTTTTTAAGCACTTCTAAAAAGATCATGTGAACAGATGGAAAAATATATTTTTAATTAAATAATTTCCCCCACACTGTAGCTGCAGTGTTGGCTCAGAAACCGTGTAATTCCCCAACCAATAGGAGTTTCTTTATAAGAACATCAAAGGATAAAAAGCTCTACATTTTCGTAGTTGGTTAAAATTGATAACCCCCCCCCCATACACACACACACCCAAAAAAAGAATTTAGCCTTTAATCTCTTTTTATCCACGAAGACTAAAGCTCTGTACTCGACCCCGCGAGCGGCTCTCGCCTTCCGGGGCTGGAACCGGGCTCAGATGTGAAGCGGCGCTGAGCCGCGGCGCAGGTTCGTGACCAGCGCCCCCTGTTGGACACAGTAGGAGATGCACAGCGCCAGTCCTGCAAATCGAGAGAACCTTGCTCTGGGGTTAGATAAAACTCTTTATTACCCTCCAAAAAGGAGATGGGGCGAGGAAACAAGTTTTTATATCCTTGAAAGATAATATAATTTAATTCACTAAAAAATAAAAAGGAGATGATACAATTTTAATTCAATAAAAAAAAAATAAAGACTAACCTATTCCTCCTCCTCACATCACAGCCACCCCCTACCCTCTTTTTGGGTTTGGGACTCTTTTTAGATTCTGAGATAGTAAAAACAGGTAGAGAAGCATGATTAAAGAGAGAGAGAGAGAGAGAGAGAGAGAGAACTTTCTTCTGTAGCAGTGGAAAACCAAGAAAATTGCTTCCCCCATTCTGTCCACATTTTTAAAAATAAAATGGAAGATGCTGCTGTTTTGACGTTGTCAGCAGCATCTTGGATGCCCTCGGAGGTCCTTCAAGAATTGTAACTAAGTCCCTGAGTAAATGAAATAACTTGATCATTGTTTTTTTTTTAATTTGTTTATTTTCAGAGTGCAATTAAGAGGCCAGTCTCTGCTTTGAATGTTTCCCATCCCCCAAACCAATCTTGATCAAACTTCTCCTTTCTGGGCTGGTGGTTAAATTCCAGATTTTTTTTTTTTTTTTTTTTTTTTTTTAAGAAACAGGTGCCTGACACCTTTCTTCTTTTATCTCAGCATCTCAACCTTAGGATTTCAGGGAAGGTGTGCCAATGGTAAAGAGTATTTCTTTTGAAATTCAGCATTTTCAATGACCAGGAATCCAAATTATCCTAAGGGAAGAGGAGTATTTTTACACTTCCAAAAGTACCTGTCTACATAAGAAAGGTTTGACATTTTCTTTGGTGAGCAAGTAAAGGTAAAAGCACACTTTGAACTCTTCCAGAAAGATAAACTATTAAAATGACACATCCTCTGAATGTAAAATGTTAGGAAAATATGGGCTTGTTTAGGTGTTTAAAATCAAACTAAAACAATTCCAGTGTTAAATGAACACATGATCTCAACAAGGTGTAGGATTTTGATGTTCAGGGATGTGCTTACAATTTTAACTTTTAGATTAAAAGCCTTAAGAAGTTGAGGTTGCTTGTTAAAAATTTCCCTATTGAAGGAAACCAGATTAATTTTCATAACAGAATTACCTTTTAAAATATTTAATACTGTGGCTACACAAGTTTAAGCTGATCTTACGTTTATTCCTCCCACCTTCCCAAATCAGCGGATCCGAGATTGGATTTTCAGGGGAATTGCTGTTCAGGGCGATGAGAGATGTCTTCTCCATCTGATTCCAGAATCGAATCTCGGCTTGTGTTTCTCAATAAATGACTTTGGATGCCGTGGCAGGAAAAGAATCAAGGCTTTGATCAGTTTTTACCGGGAATCTTATCTAAATTACGGGCAAGCGGGATTCCCTGCTACAGGCAACCCCACCCTTTGCTTTACCAAAAAACCAAAAACAAGCAGAAACAAAAAACAAGTCCCAATTACAGAAATCCTAAATCCAGGCCAGGTTTGGAACCAGCGCCAACCCCATAAGGTAACAAACCGTGCGTGACAGCCGCGGTCCAAGGCTGCCGGTGGCCTGGGGAGGCCAAAGCCAGCAGAATCCTGGAGGCGACCTGCGAACGGGGATAGATGCCTGCTGTTCGGAAGTGATGTAGAATTTGCAATACCAGTGGCCCAGAGATTTCGACCCCCGCCCGCTCTGCCCCCGGGGGGTCCCAACCCGTAGGGAGAGGCCGGGAGGAGGAGCCGAACCTGGCTGCAGGCGAGCCGTGTGTCCCCAGCTTCCCAGGGCCCAGGGAGAAAGCGCAACCCGTAGTTCAGGAGAGAAAACTGAGGAGGTGGGTGGCCTAGGCCTGGGAATGCCACCCAGCTTTCCCAGCGCAGTGTCATTTCTGTGGTTTCAGGCGGCCTCGGCCCCTGCCTGCCGGCATCCCCCAGCCCAGGGCGGCCAGCAGGAAGGCAGCCCTTCCAACTTTGGGGACAGGGGAGCAGGCAGCGAGGGACTGACTCCTTAGAAGCGGACAAAACCACCAGGGCTGGCCACGGGCCACGTTTGTCTGCGGCAGCAAAGCACCCTTCAGGGGTGGAGCGGGCATTTGGGGGCTCTTGTCCCAGCGTCCAGGCCTGAGCCCGCGCCTCTTGGCTGAGCGCCCTGCTTTATAATAAGTAGTCAATCTTGCCCCATTCCGAGGACAATCCCAGATGATGGGCCAACCTAGCTTGGGCCCACTGAGTCTGTGCCAAGTTCTCGATCCCCTCTCCCCTCCATCCCTCAGACCCTTCTTGGTGAACTCAAGCCTCACTCTGAAAGCCAGTGTGTGTGGCTTGGAGTTTGGAGGTGGAGAAGATGACTGATTGATTATTAAGACCAAGATTCAAGGATGAGCCCTCATTTATTAAGTTTGCTCTTTTGCCTCATTTTGAAGCTTTGAAGAGCCTTTAGTTCCCTTGAGCCAACCCTGAGACAGACAAGTCGCCAGGGAGAAAAGCCCAGCCCGGCTTGAAGGAGCTGAGCTCTAGACAGACACTCATCTCCCTACCACTCAACAGGCAGATCAGCTCCGCCAGACTCTGGGTCCTAATCCAGGGCCCAGATGCTATGTGGGTTG